CTCTGTACCCTCTGCCTCCGTGGACGTGTGTGAGAAGGGCTGGTTGCTCCTTGGTTCGGAGGCTGGAGGGTGCGTGAGAGCAGCCAGTTACCGTGGCTCCGCTGGCCGGTGGCGATGCATCGGAGCCGCTCACCTGCAGCTCAGCCCGCTGTTTCAGAGCTGGCCTGGAAGCAAGCAGCCTGCAAACTTGCATGCCGTGCGAGACGGAGCCGAGCGAGCCCGCGCACGTAAGCGTGCCCTTCGCCGCCCCGGGGCTTTGCGGGGACGGCCCAGGGCTCCGCTGGTCCCCTCCTTGTAGCCGGAGCGTCGCTGCCCCGTTGCAGCGGCTCGTCGGTGCCCAGCTTGTCCTGCACACGCTGGTTCTGGGTGTCCGCAGAGACACGCGGCACTCTGCATGCGAACGGAGACGGAAAACACGGCCCCGCTGAACCTCAGCGGCAAAGCTGGATCCTGGATCTAGCTGTGGGTTTCCAGACCAAAATAAAGCCCTCTCTGGTGCAGTGCCCCTCTCTGTGTTCGTTGTGAGCTGCGTAGACGGGCTTGTGAGCACGTGAGCGTGAATTCTCTCTGCAGGGCTGTGCCAGGCTATGAGTAGGTAGTGTGTCTTTCCTGGATAATTGGCTTTTTTTATTGGACAGTCATTTCCCATGTTCTGCTCTTATTAAAAAAATACCCTCGTTGACTTTTTGAATAGCTTTCAGTTTCCACTGTTTATGCACTGTGGGAGAGAAGAGAGAATTTCTGATAATTTTGTTTTCTCTCTATTTAGCTGACACTGATGCTTGAATTTTGTTTTGTTTAACCCCAGTGTTTCTGAAGCAGCGCAGCTGCCTTCTGTTCCTGACTGCGTCTGTGCACCACCAAGACTTTCTAATCAGAAGAATTAACCTGCTTAGAGGGGTCTCAGGGTAGCGGGCTTGGGTGGACGAGACCAAAATGCAGGTGTTTTTTGCAGTCTGTGCATTAATGTTCTCCCTGATTTGCAGCAAGGGAATAGATAACTGGGATAGCTTGTGCCCTTCCAGGCAGCAAACAGCTTTACCAGAAGCTAACCCAGGTCGCTAAGTCTTCCCTCTGTTTTCTGCCCTGACTTCTCTCTGTTTCCCTCTGCCGCTTCCCTTCCCTCTCTCTCAAAGCTCCACACGGATTCATGGTGTCCCTCTGTCTTCCACTGCACTTCTGTGGGATGAGTTCTCCAGGGCTGGACCTGGGCAGCCTCGCCTGCTGTGCCCCCGTTGGGGGGATGGAGGAGAAGGGAGGTCTCGGGAATGATGCTCAGGAGATGGTTTGCAGAGCTGAGCTGGTCTCCCTTGGGGTTTTGCCCTGGTTTGAGGGAGCTGGGCAAAGCAAGCCAGGGGTCAGTGGGGGAGCTGATGCTGGCTTCGTGCAGAAGACGTCATTTCCATCTCCGTGTGAGCAGTGGGGTTTACCCAGCACGTTGCAGTGCTGCTGTGATGGTGTGAAACGAGAATAAATTCCGAGCTTGGAGGTTATGTAGGTTGCGAAGGCTTCGGGTGGAGAGGAGGCATGAGCTTGACCATAGGCAGGGAGGGAGGTGGGCTTTCAGCTTGGTTGGGGAGGACTTCATTTTTGTTTGCATTGCCCGGCTCATTCAAAACGCATTTCCGTGCTGGCAGAGATGGTTAAATCTAAGTAAGAAAATCTGAGGAAAGCTGCAGCAGAAGTTTATTGGTGGAGCTGAAGGCAGTGATGTGGTAGACAGCGTCTGGACTCCCCAGTGCTTGAGGTGGTGGGGCAGGGAGGGCTTCTGTGAACCTACTGCTACCTCTGAGCTTGTACTAGATGGACCACCTAGTTGCTTTGGCCGTCACCTAGGCTCTCGTTGGCTTGTTCGTGTTGGTTATACTTGGTTTAGTTGGTTTTGCACAGTGATTTTAGGGATCAGTGCTTTTGTTGATGCTTGCACTTGATGTTCTTAAGATGTTGATGTGACAGATTATCAGTCTTGGTAGAAGGTGGCCTGCTTGGTGGTCTCCCTTGTCCTGTGCGTTCACACTAAACACTGAATTTATCCAGGATCTTACTGTGGTGGTTAGCACAGCAAACCCAGCTCTGAATTTCTATTCCCAGCTACATAAACTTTCCATTTTTGCCCTCCAGCTGGTGCTCCAGCATCATGGGGGGTACCTGGCCCACGCTCATCTCTTCGTTCGTGTCTGTTATCCAGCTCGGGTGTGCATGCAAGAGCTGACTTGTTTGTTCCTAGCCAGGATGTGCTGAGCCTGTGCCAGGAGGATGCCACATTGCTGCCCTGTGTGGTGCAGCACCATCTTTCTAAGCCAGATGGAGAGTGAACTCAGAAGGGCGTCCCTCCCGAGAGGGGAACCCTGGAACATCTTGTAGGTAAAATCTCCAGGGTTCCAGGCATGAGACTCTTCTTTGAGTAACTTCTCTAGTCTGGTTTTGTGAGTGATGGTTGTGCTGAGACCAGAGATCCCTAGGACGCTCTCGCTGGCTATGCTGGTTGGTGACTTCCCTCCTAGCCTGCCCGTGTACCAGACCGAGGTGGACTCATCTCACTGGGAAAAGGGGTGTCATCTCTGTTCACCCACCAGATCTGCAGCCCACTCGCAAAGAAGCGGCAGAACACACACGTATCTTTATTCGCCTCGTCAGCTTGCGAGGGGATACCTGACCGTTCTCCCTCCAGCAGCTCTGCACACTCTCCTCCCTTGGCCGGTGGCTGAGTGATGGGGAGGCTCTCCAGGGCGTAGCGTAGGGATGTTGCGGAGGAGCACCCCTTTTGTGGGATGTGTGGATCTCCTCGCTTTTGTGCCCCAGCTTCAGCCCACAGGGACATCATGAGAGCAGGCAGGGGATGTGGGTGGGGACTGGGTTCCTCGGGTGCTGGGAGCCGGTGAAGGTAGCTTGTGAGTGGCAATGCTGCTTCCACGGGCAGCAGACAGAGCAGGATGACTGGCAGCGCTATGGAGAGGTGTTACCAACTTGGCTGCTGCGCCCAGCGTTGCTGAACAAAGTCTCACGGTGGTCTGGAGGCATTTCCTTTGGAGAGGAGGAGCTGAGCAACTCTCCTGGTCCCAGATGAATTCTGCTTAACAGAGCAAAGACTTCTGTTGCTTCCATAAAACAGGCAAGAGCTTGTGCAAGATGCTGGGTCAATGCTGACAACTCTTGTTAGTAGCTTCCACTATAAAGGGAGGAGACGGCCCAGTCCCCAGGTGACTGGGAGAGTGCCACAAGCCAGGAGGGTGCTGGTGTGACCTGCTGCAGCAGGATGGGGGGGGGGACACACCTCTGGAGAGAGACAACTTGCTGTCTCTGGCCTGAAAGAGGCAGTGGGGAGAGCATCGGTGTAAGACACAGCGGAGCAACCCCAGGGATGCTTTGGAGGGCACTGCGTGGTGGGTTGCCCTCGGCTTTGCAGTAGAAGGCAAAGCCACGCGTGTGATTTCACCTGATCCTCTCAGACTTGGGAGACCTTCAGCTGCTCGGTTTGTTGGCTCTGCTTCAAAAGCCCCCATACTGCATCGCTCTCCTTCAGTTTACACCTTTTGACATCTTCTGAGTGATTATAGCCCTGGGTCATCCACGAGAGCTGGAGCGCTCTGCCGCACCCAAGGTACACGGGTCGGTTGTCTCACGCACGCCAGTCTGCACTGGGGTGGAGAGGTCTGCTGCAGCCCCACGGCGGTGCCGCCTCCTGCCCCTCCGCTCACCAGATCCGACGCTTGTCACCCACCCGACCAAACAACCGTGACTTGGCTGCAAGGGAGGGCAGGAGCTGGAAGGGTCAAGGCTGGATTTCCAGAGAAACTGGAGGGAGCAGTGGATGCGCTGCTAGCCACCATCCAGGCTTGTTTCCAGACCTCTCCCTTCCAGTGCAGTGGGGGTAGCAGAGCCATACCCTGGTTGTCCAAACCAGGCTCTGGATCTGCTTGTAACACGTTGAGCCTGGCTTTTGGCAGCGCTGACAGGGCTTCACAGGAGCGGTGGCGTGGCCAGGCTTTCTAGCAAAGTTTGAGATTGTTTTTCATGCAGAGCATCCGAAAG